GGACACATGTTGATGTAGAAGAGACATGAAGAAGAGAGGACACATGTTGATGTAGAAGAGACATGAAGAAGTGGATTTTGCATAATAGGTGACCTTTAAGTCACATGTGATGAGACACAGAGGGACCGGTGTAGCCCTCACTGTGGCGTTGGTTATTATGGCAACATGTGTTCTTGTTTTTGCATTAAAGGATACTGCAGAGCCTTCATGTAGTTCTGGATGGCCACCAGCCAATCAGGGACGGACATGGACGACTTGAAGGTCGGCACTGAGGGGACGGGGTGCTGCAGAGAGACAAAGACAGATTATTATCTCACAGGAATCTCAACATGTGGTAACATTCAGAGCCCCAAACCATCGCTGACAATCTTTAAAAAGAAGTCTCAATGTCCCGTGACTCATCACTGCTCATACTGCCGATAAGTACACTGGCTACACGAGTCAACTAATTACACATCTCTCACATCAAGAACATTTTATTTAAAGCTTCAGTGTCAAATTCATTTAGCCGAGAGCAAGCGTGGTACTCGTTAATTAGTCTTTCCAAACCAACAGAAAATCATTGCCACATCCTTCATCAGAGTCAGAGTTGAAAAGTACCTGCAGTTCTTGCCAAAGTTACAGTTTGAATAGTGTGTATTCTTCGGTGTTGGGGGGGGACATGCATTCAAAAGGTGTGTGTTATTGCTTTTTTGTTGAGGTCTAAAAATACGTTCTTTGCAGATAGTGTTTTTGTAATTTATAAGAAAACTAAAAGTCAGATTTCAAACTCTTTCTAGTTGTTTTCAATAAAACACTTGAGTAGTTGTTGCGTGTTTCCGACCGCTGAATGTTATCAAACCTATATGTATGAGACCAGTACATATCTTCAAACATACAATTCACCCAATTTATCTTTAGATTGAAAGTTGAAGGAATGTATGTATTTTTCTCTATCAAAATGTAATTGTTATCGAGGTTAAAAAGCTTCTAAACAGCTTTCAGATATCAAAGCAATGATTCAGCTATTTCTACTTCTGCTATCGCTCTGCTACCATTGGTGGTAGTTGTGGTACAGATAGTAGTGACTGAGATAGAAATGACTGACACGTGTCGTTGTCTCTATCTGTCCTGTGGTGGGAAATGAAACCACGCTGATGATTCTGCAGACGCTTCACCTCAACAAGATCGTTTCAGAAAGGAAACGGAGGTCAGGGATGTGGCTTCATGAGAGGACGTGACCAAACCAGCATAGTGAGTCAGCCTTAAACAAAAAGCAGCACTTCCCCTTACACGGGCAGCTGGAGCGTATGTATGTATCTGTGTGCGTGTGTGCGCGTGTGTGCGTGTGTGTGTGTGTGTGTGCGTGCGTGCGTGCGTGCGTGCGTGCGTGTGGCAGCAGCCGTTTAATGTCCTGTTGATTTTCCTTAGCCGAGGAGGAAGACAAACAGATTGCATATGTTGTGCTGGGTTTCTGTTTCCAAATCATCAGGGTTACTTCTAAATCTACTAATAAACTGCAACACATTATGGACAGCTTTAATACAAAAACAAAACATCGTTCATGCTTTAAGGCACTCAAGGATCCTCAAAACTCACAATTACAACTTTATATGGGATTCAATCTGAACTGGCTTTAGAGGCAGTTTATAAGTCAGATAATCAGCAAGGTCAGTGATGTTGGGAGGTCAGAAACCAACTGGAGACACTGAACTAACTATCAATGTGCCCTATGATCCCCCAAGACAGTCACAGGAGCTGGATTTGTCAATCACCGCTGATTTCCTCTCAGCTCCACAAACAGCTGACCTGCTCTCCACAGTTGATCTGTATGGTTTACTGGGGTTTTACACCGGCTGATTTGTCAGAAAATCACAAACTTTATTGGTTTGGGACCCATTAAAATGTCCTGGGTTCCACTCAAAAGACCTCCTATCACCTCGTTGGAAACCGCCCAACATCAGTGCAAGTGCCTCGGCCAATAACGCAATTATTTATAGAATAGAATAGGGAGGGATGAAACCCTCTTTAATGGTCACACAGCACACACAGTGAAATGCTTTTAACCCATCCTAGTACCAGGAGTCTAGCACTAGGAGCAGTGGGCAGCTATTGCACAGCACCCGGGGAGCAATGGGCGAAGGGGGGTGTCCGGTGCCTTGCTCAAGGGCACCACGGCAGGGCAGGAGGTGAACTGGGACCTCTCCAAGTAGAAGTCCACACTCCATATTTTGAGGTCTGGTCGGGGACTTGAACCGGCGACCCTACAGCTCACAGTCCAAGCCCCTACTGACTGAGCCACTGCCGGACATTATATCCATTCAGCCTCTCATTTAGTACAAACAGTAGATCAGCCTTCAAACCAGGCGGCAGACCACCGTTCCACCTGTCAGTCATTGAGTGAGTAAAACAATCAACAGACTGGTCTCAGGCCAGTGGACAGTCATTCAGTCCATAAACCAGTCTGCCAGCAGCACCAGTAAATAGCAAGTTTTACGACCGCATAATCCCCCAAGTTGTAAAATCCTCACTAAGGCGTTACACACTGGCAGCATCGTCTGGCACACACTCTCTAAAGCTGCAGGAAGTGAGAGGACTGATGATCCCTCGCTTCATCTGCTCTCCTTCCTCCGTACACAGAAATGTCAGTTCTGTACAAAAAGGCTCAATTCATATGCACGTTACACATTCTGTCACAACTTTGTGCTAGCTTGCTGCATTCACATTTTGCAGTGTCTTTATACAAATGAAATATAGCGTGACACATTGCGGTATCTCAGCTGTCACTCGTCACTATGCCTCATGTCATTAGATGTTGTCTGAGAATCTGTAACAGCTGTCTCAGTGTTTCATTTCCAAACTGTGAGGACTTACAGAGTTGCTGTTATTATGAGGAGTGAAATATTTTAGTGCCGTGTGCAAGATACCCTGGGAAACAGAGTGACAGACATAAACATGTAAACAAAGTCATTCACCCGTCAGTAATCTAATAGTATATTGTAGGGATGTAACGATACCAAAAACTCACGGTATGATAATATCGCGATAAAAAGTCCACGGTACGATATTTATCGCGATATTGAAAAATAAAGGACTTTTTTTTATTTTTTTTTATTAAATACTAAATCTGATTTGTACAGCATTTTAGTAGGATAGTAGTATTTTAAAGTGTCAACAATATAATAATCAGACCCGGCAATAGAAAAAATCAAGTTTCAGTTTAGTTTTTCAAGTAACTCACTCACTCTAACTCCCACTCACTCACTCAGCATCATCAAGGTTATCTTTTAGGAATATGAGCATGTCCACATTTCCAGGTAGAAGCTGGGATGTTTGGGCGTTTACAATATCCCCTGCTGTGGAAAAAACTCTCTTGCTTGGTACTGATGTTGCTGGGACAGAGAGATATGCTTTGGCCATGGGTGACAGCAGTG